CTCGATTTTTGTTTTGTTTTCCTAATAACCCTACACTTACCCAGCTGTGCACTGGAAGCAAACGAAAAAGAGATTTTAGAATTTATTGGTGAGTATAGAAGCGAGGGCTACGATTTTTTGCCCCAGTACAAAGAGGTCTCAGGAAGACCGGGAGTTATATTCAAGAAGGGAACTTGGGATGTGGTGGGAAGAGATGAGGGGTGTAGCATTGGTGGGTGCTAGATTACTCTGATGACTCTTGGGAGGAAATGGCCAAGGAAGGGCGGTTCAGAGGACTTTGCCACCTAAACCAAAATATGCCCAAGTCATTCGAACCAACAGAATGCTTTTTATTAGTTTTTAATATTTGCTAGTTTTATATATTACTCTGGGGGAGCTGAGACTGCATCTTTTCTTTCTCACAACATAGTTAGGGTGGGGTTTGAAGAATACACCGCCTGGGAATGGCAGTGCAGAATGTGATCCGACATGCTAACCCTGAGAGATCGGAGCATCTCTAGACAAATACAGTGAGAATAAATAGAGGGATGGACCACTCAGCTAGCAAGTTGCCAGTTCAGGGAGCCCCAGAAGGCTAGAGAGATAAGTAAGGAGAGAGGGGGTGTGTTGAAAAATGTGTGAAATTCCATCATGAGTCTCAAGTGAGGGAACAGCCATTCAGGATCCACTCTTATTTTGTGGGATATGCAGAACAGGACAGCTGCCAAGGAAGGCAGAAGTTGAAGGCAATAGTATAACCGTACATGCACCTGGAGAAATAAGGTGACCAAGTAAATAGTGAAAATTGCCTGGTAACACATCTTGATGTCTTAATGGTTGGCAGCAAGTGGGGAGGCAGGTTACACCTGGTCAGGTGTGAGGGAGATATGTTTGCTCAGTTCCATGAAACAAACCCTTAAGCAGATTCTTGACCATTTGGTCACTGTCCCCTTGGCTATTATGTTCAAAGCTCAGGGCCCTTTTTCCCAGAAAATGTGTATAAGATAAACAACATTTTGATTCGATTAATTGGAGTTCTGAGGTCGCTTGCAGCTCTAAAAGGTGATATAAGATATTAAATAACAGGGATTAAATCAACTGCCCTACTTTGTTCTCTTCCATTTTCCCTCTCTTTCATTAAGACCAGGTAGTTTTAAAAACCTGAAGACATTTTGAATGTTTCTGAAGAAACAAAGCATACCGTTTTTGTTCCCTAGACTGGGGGTTCTTTCTTCCCTTTTTTTGTAATGCCTTTTTTTAAATGTTATTCCAAAAGCCACAAGGCTGAGTACCATACTGATTGAGGAACATTTAGGATCGTTCATGCCTTGGAGCATAAAATGAGATTTTATTATGCTTAAACTATGATGAAATCATTGAAGGTGTCATTCTAAGAAGCAAGTCCCTAGGGGAGATATTAACAACTTAGCATTTTCAGCTCAAGTGGGAATATGAATTCCATTTGCTGAAGAAAATATTTTAGATAAAGTTAAGAATAAAAAACTTCACAGTATTTTAAAACCATCATTTTCCCTGACCTTTTTCCCTCACTCCAAAGCTGATCTATGATTGAGATGGTCTGTAGAGGCCGTCTCACTTTATTTATTGTTCACTTTGTGCAAACTACCATGCTTTTATATAATAAACAAAGTATATATTCATAACTAGCAATAGGTAAAAATTATATTTAATAAAAAGATTGTTTGAAGTCTGCTTTAGCTGTCATAACAAAATGCCTTAGGCTGGGTGGCTTAAACAACAAATTTTCTCCTGGTTCTGATGGTTAAGACCTGGC